ACGGCAGATGGTCCCCCCTCCCTCCAGAGGGACACAGCCCCAGGGCTGATATCCCCCCCCCCCTCCCCGCTCAGAGCTGATGTCCCCGGAGGGGCGCCTGCTACCACAATTCTCACGGACAGTCAGGAAACCACCACCAGAGACCCAGAGGCGTGCCCTCAGGAACTGAAGGAGCAGGTAGATATGTCTGCCAGGGCAGAGAGGGCTCTTCCTAAGATAGAATGCAGGTAGGCCCTGCCCAGGAGTGACTGAGGTGATCACTACCACCTACCATGGCTGGTCACCTACGAAATGAACCCCAGAAAGGATGGAGCCTGAAATCTCCAAATCTCACTTCGATCAATGATCTGCCTGCCCATTCTTGAGAGACCCTCATTGTTAGAGGTGTTCAAGAGGTCAATTTCTCATCTAACCGAATGAGGGGGAAAAATAGTTTTGTCTCCTCTCCTTGGGGCCAGGATCCTGAGAGGTAACAAATGATCAGAAGGAGGAGACAGGTCCAAGGTGACACCCCACTGACGGACAGTGGTGGAGAAACACGTACAATGATAAGATCCCTGAGTGTAGAGCAGAACGAACGGGTCTCGAGAGATGATCTACAGAGGCAACGTGACCCAGGGGCGCAGACTGCCCCAGGTTAAATTCCTGATCTAAGATCTGCCCTTCACTGGCTGTGTGACATCAGGCAAATCACTTAACCTCTCTGGTCCTCAGTTTCCTCACCCACTGCAAACGGAGATGACGATATTACCTTTCTCACAGGTTCCTGTGAGAATTAGAAAATATGCAAGTGATTGTAGTTATTACTATCATCACGGAAGGCAGCCCTAGGGCTTTGCACTACAGTGATTCACGTTCTCTCTTCTGGAAGTACAGAAGGAAGCGTTCTAAGAGAAGCCACGGCATGTAAGCTTCACAGGCAGCTTTCATGCATTGGAGCTAGACCCGGGTTAGTCTGACCACTGCTCCCCCAGCCAGAAGGGGGCCCAGCTTTCTCATCCCGCCGGCAACATTTCCTCCAAGCACATGACATTCACTTTCCTATCCCCCTTTGGCCACGCCTTGTCCTGTTCTTCATCCCTCTCTCTGTGTCTTCTCAGTATTTGGCTACCCGGAATCCAAGGAATAATCCAACCCATCCCATTCCCTGTCCCAAACACCTGGCCGAAGACACTGCCTCTGTTTCGGGCCCCAGAAGCGCAGCCTGGGAAATAGGTCTGGATGGCTCTCTATCCAGGCCGCCTCCAACAAGGGGGTTAGCAGATGGATTCCTCTCTGTGGCCGATTATTTTCCATGGCCCTTGGCCATGTGACCTTAGACCATGATCTTGTCAGTTCTCATAAACTAACCAGGAGTGGGCTGAGTCACACACAGAGAGGAAACCTCTGGGGGAAACAGCAGAGGCTGTGGGAGGAAGGAGAGCAGGCTGGGATCCTAAAGGCCATGGGAGCCTCACCCCTGTGCTCCCCACCTCGGAGCGGCTTTGGCATCACATGAAAGAAAGGAGAGGCGGCGAGCATCCTTAGGACGGCTGGGCTGCAGGCGGGCTACTCTTTTGAATAAAATCTGGGGACTCAGCCCAAGGGGCTAACTGTCCCCAAGACCTCCCACTTGGAAAAACTGCCTTCCTTGGTCATTCCTGAAACCCCTGGTTGTTGACACCCAAGTCCCTGTTCTCAGGAGCCCCAATACATCATCACAAGCTACATTAGAGAAAAGTAGCTTTTCTCTGCGTCACACGCAGATGCACACCGCCCACCCCCACTGTTGGCTCGGGCTGTCCTGTGGGGGGTCAGGTATGGAATATCAAGGAGTGCGCTGGAGGACGCCCTTGATACGGTGTTGACGGGGAAGGTGTTCTGGGGATGTGAAGGGAAATGTTTACATTCTGCCAAACACACACTGAAAACGAGGTGCCGAGGAAGTCTTCGTCTGCTCCGATACTCTAAAATGGGGTGTTACCTAAACAAACCCCCGAGCTTCTCGGCCCAGTTTTCTTTTACTCTAAATAATCTTTGGATTTCAAAGTTGTGTGTCTCCGTGGTTTTGGGTGGCAAGTTACCTTGAGTTCTCCGAGGATGCATTTTTAAAAGGGAGGTTATTCCTGAGTAACATACGCAACCATAAACCAATCCCTTAACCGTGTATATGTTTTAATTACTTTCTGAGCACTCACTTGACTAAATCCTCGGGAGCAGCGTGCATGTAAGCGGGTCCGTGAGTCCAGCACATACATTCACGCATACACACAAACATGGGCGAAGCGTGCTGGTTTCAGAGCCTGAACTCTATCTTTCAACAAAGTTTAGCTGCTTTCCTTTTGCAAATGCATTTAATTTTATCTGGAAACTTTCTGACGTTAGAAATAGAACAACTGTAGTTTCTCATTATGTTTGCTGCCAGAACCCATGCTTGGTTGCTCAACTAAAGACCTTATATTGCTAATTACTACCACATGCCCGTATCCCAAGCGCAAGGGAGCTTATTGATTCTGACAGCCCATTCTCTCAACACTGAATTCCAAATGAAAACTCAAATTTTGGCCAAACATAACATTTCATCAATCTTGTTCTACTGACTGGAAAAACAACATCAAACAAAGGGTGCTAATGGCCCTCTATTACCGTGCCTTTCCCATGCTTATATTTTCTGATGAAAGATCTAAGTGACCAAGGGCTTCTTTAAACTACTTAGTAATTAGCTTTTGAACCAGGAAACAATGCGCAAAGTGCACAGCCCCCGTGCTGATGACAGAACCTGCTCTCTGTCCGCAGGGCCGGGGACACTGGGGACCCAGCGAGAACATTAAAAGCAAAGTGCACATTTTCATAAAGGGAACAGGAAAAAAGAGACGGGGGGCGGGGGGGGGGAGGGAAGTAAGCAGGCTAGCTGCAGTGATAAAAGATTACAGAGACGGAGGCAGAACAAAAGCCGCAGGAGCCTGTGATCTGAAGTCATCACCGCGAGGGGGTTGGAGTGGAAATGCCACGGCAGAAAGCGCCCGGATGATCAGACCAGGCCGGGGGTGAGCGCTGGTCTGAGGGCCTGAGCCGGTCACCGGTCACCAAAAGCTGTCAGCCACCAGGCCCACCCACACTGGGGTTGGCAAACTAATTGTGGGTGAAGGGGATTTTGCCTGGAGCGAGAGTCAAGACATATTTTCAACCTGGACTTCAGGGCAATTGACTTTACTGCCTCCTTCGGGGGCAGTGATAGGACAGGCCAGCTGGGACAGCGGGTGGGAGGCCAACCCGGCCCTGCCCTCGGAAGGCCGTCTGCTTTATGGCGACCTGTCCACACTTGAAGGCAGAACCGAGAGAGAAGCTGTTTTCCTCTTGGCATGGAGCACATGACCAGTGGAATCTCCAGACGTATTTGGCCTTTTGGATGCAGCCAGTGGCCCAGAAATCAGAGCAGCTTGGTTCCAATCTCATCCAGGCTGTTAGGGGAATAGGAGAGGAGGGCTCCATCAGCGGGGAGGTGGAGGCACGGGCTGGCTCCACGAGCAGGCGCCAACTGGCTCCCTCTCAGCCACTGTCCTTTGTTCCTTTGAAAGGAAACTGGTGTCCTGTGGGCAGTTCAAGAAAGTGAGCCCTGTTTTACCCGCCTCCTCATCTTCTGAAGGGAGGACGGGACACCCGAGCGCGGGGTGAGCTGGAACCACCTCAGAGAGGGGGTCCGCGCATCTACTGGGGCTGCAGGGCGAGGAGGAGGCACCGAGGATGGAGGGGACACCATGCTGCTGGTTTGATTTTCTCTTAAAAAACAGAATCGGCTGTTTAAGAGTTTATCTGAAAATGAATGAAAGAAGCCTCGTTCCAATGCAGGAACTTCTGTGACAGGGAAGAGGCAAGAGTGATGGAAAGATTCCGAGTCTAGATCGGGTGGGAGTGACTGGCTGTGCACCCCAGCGCAAATGTCCTGAGCTGAATGAGAGAGATGTGTGTGTACCTCTTACTCCATGGAAGTTAAAACAGAAAACAAAACCTCAGAAACAAAGCTGTGCCCAAGAAAAGTCCTTTTTAAAAAGGGACGGACGGTTGCTGCCTGCCCGGCCTCCCTCCAGCAGGGTCCGGAGGATGGCGGCTGGCAGAGCACAGCGGGCTGAGGTCCGGCCATGTACTCGGAGGGAAATCTCTGCTGGATCAGGGACCCACATGCTGATAACGTGTTCTGAGCACACGTTGAAAGAGAGCCCATGGAGAACGCATCCGTGCATGGAAAGCCAAAGAAAGGACACTTCGGCCTTAGCATGTGGTGTCCTGAAAATCAGAAACATATTACTTCTTGCCCACAAGGAATTGCAAGGGAGTAATGAATCCCTGTGAGGATAAGCTCTGTGCCTCCCGGCTAAAGAGAACTGGTTCCCGGTGGCCACGCCTTATAGCAGGCAGGGTGACCTTGACCTTGCCCTCCCTGAGAATTCCTTGCTGGAGTAAGATCTCACGTGACTGCTGCACAGAGCCCCATGAAATGGCATCATCTTAGTGTGGGGGACCAGAGTGTAACCACCGAGCCAGTTGGCGTGAGGAATGAATGAGCATGGTTTACTTGTTCGGGACCAGAACAGAACAGACAGGCCCGGTGATAGTGGGACCCCTTCCAGGATCAACCCACGTCTCTTGGAAAGATGCGTGGGGGGGGGAAGCGGTGAGTGAGAACAGGGCTGGGCGGCTGGTCCCACTATGACAACCTGGGTAACATCACACCCCCCCCCAGAGCGTGGCCCTTCCCTCACAGAGACGCCCGGTGGGTAGGAGCAGGCAGGACTCCTGGAAGCCACTCAACCACATCTTTTCTGGTGCAACCGACTTACTTTCTGCCTCCATGTTTGTTAAAAGTCCCGCCGAATTTATTCCGATTCAGGATGAGAGCAGCGATTTCGGGCACGTAGCGGGCAAACATTGCCTACATGCATGAAACAAAGAAACAAGAGCCAAAAAAACAATGGCATGCAGAGAGGACCCCGCAGCGAGGCGGCAGGCCTCTGGATACTTACTTTCTTCCACTAACCGCACTATAGGAGCCCCCGTATTTCTTGCGGTTTCCTATTAACTCTATGATTTCAGGGACGTAGCTGGCAAACATGGCCTGAGGAGAAGATAGGAGACAGAAGAGAGACTAAAAAGACAGGCCAAAGGAAGGGGTGACCTTTTCAGAAGGGGGGGATGCTAAGATCTGAAAACACAAAAGGATTAGAACGGCGAAGGTACACACTAATACGCTGGATTATAAAAAAAGCACAAAAAGGGTAAGCTCCTGAAAACACACAAGGCAAAACAAACACCAGCCAGCCTAGACAACTAAAAAAATCACAGTTGCTACTGATACTGCCCAAAAGGCAACTATAAAGAGAAAAATACAAAGGAGACAGGGATAAATAAGTTGACATCTAGCTCTTCTTCCTGAAGAGAAATAAGTAAGGGGGATGCATGCTGGGGAAATTACACACTTACACAGGCACACACACACACATGTGCACACACGTGCACACACGCACACACATGCACACTCAGATTACTGCAGGGAAAGACCTTTCTAGTTAAAATCTAAAGGGCAACCAATGCCTATGAATGATTAAAGATAATAAACACCAAAGAAAGGTTAAAATAATACAAACCTTTGCATTTAAAAAAATCACTAAAAAGCACACAAGGTAAATCAAGGAAATCACATGGGAGGAAAGGACAGCGAGGAGAAACACACATCTGCCATGTTTTGTCCAACAAACAATGCGCCTGTGGCTGGATAACCGGGACCTCACAGACACTGTGGGAACACCTGTGTTGACGCACACACACACACACATGTACATTTACATACATTTTTGAATGTATATGCCCTATGCATACAAAACAGAGAGATGAGTATGCATAGAGTAAATGTGTGTGTGGTGTACATATCTGATAGCTGTGTGTGAAGTAGGATTTTCATCATTTATCTCACACACAGCAAAAACTGAATCTTAGCCCAGCCAGTGTGGCTCAGTAGTTGAGAGTCAACCTATGAGCCAGGAGGTCACAGTTCAATTCCCAGTCAGGGCACATGCCCGGGTTGTGGGCTCGATCCCCAGTGGGGGTGTGCAGGAGGCAACCAATCAGTGATTCTCTCTCATCATTGATGTTTCTTCTATCTCTCTCTCTCTCTCTCTCCCTCCCTCTCACTTCCTCTCTAAAATAAATAAAAATATATTTTTTAAAAAAATCAAAAGTTAGAGCAAGCTGCTTTGAGAGACAAAATGCAGCCACAGCCACTGTGTTGCCAAATGTCCCTTGAAAATGACAGCATAACCGACCATTATGATCTGCATAGAGCAGAAATGCAAACAGTGAAACTTGCTGACTTACAAGGGGAAGAAAAAACACCCCAGGTGCCGCACGGGGTGACATCCACCTGGACAAGACCAGTGGGCCCCCATCTCCGACGTGGGGACCCCACTCTTTAGGGCAGGCCCCAGCCACAGTGTTTGTTGGAAGTTTGGGAGGACCGTCAAGGGGCGGGAGAGCTCTTGAAACCGCAAACTGTCTATGGAGTATCGACAGCATCCACCAGGGTCAGGGGACAGCAGCTGTCCTTGCAGAATGTCAGATACTGAATTACATTACTAAGGGACAGACACTCACTTAGTAAGTGAGCAGCACTTTCTTAAGACAATTAGGTTTGCTCCTGGCTAAATGGCTGGCCCTGACAAGGGCAACACGCCTGGGTCTCTGGGAAACAAGTTAATACACCTAAGAAATATGCAGACAAGTCACCCTCACGCTCGGACCAACTTAGCCTGATTGTAACACTAAGGCAATCGCTTGCGCCTAGCACAGAAACACACTATCAAAATACAAAGCTCTTGGGAATGGATAATAGGAGATGTTAATGACCATAAAAATCAGTGTCATAACAAAGAGCTTTTACCAGTCCCCCGAGGATGAAGAAGACCATGAAGAGGCGTCCGAGCGTGGTTTTCGCGTAAACGTCCCCATAGCCAACGGTGGACATGGTGACCATGAGCAAGTAGACACATTCCCAGTACGTAAGCGCCTGGTTGTTTTGGAAATTTTCCCATGGGTCCCCTGAATTCTCCACCTAGAGAAGGGGACAGGGGGAAAGAAGGGAATATTATGCTAGAGATATATGTCCTATATAATAAAAGCTTAATATGCTAAGTGTCCGGTCCTCGGTTCAACCTATCAAAGCGCGTAATATGATAATGATATGCTAAGGCAGCTCAACTGCTCTCTGTGGTGTGCACTGACCACCAGGGGGCAGACAGTCAACTGGTTGACCAGTCGCTATGACGTGCACTGACCACCAGGGGGCAGATGCTCCAACTGGTAGGTTAGCTTGCTGCTGGGGTCCAGCTAATCAGATTGAACAAGATGGGCTGGATATGCCCTGGAGCCCTCCCATGGTCCCTCCCCGGCTGGCCAACCTCCCACACCCCTCCCCAGCTCTGACTGTGCACCGGTTGGGTCCCTCGGCCTGGCCTGTGCCCTCTCACAATCTGGGCTGAGGGACCCCCTCCCCACCCCGCCCCTGAGTGTACAAATTTCATGCATTGGGCCTCTAGGATATATATAATAAGCCAGGAGCACAAAAGCTCCAGCAGGATATTTTGGAGGGGTGGCCCCTCAACCTCAGTGTTGGCCGTCTGGGCTGAGTTCTGTGAGGGATGACTGAACAGGTAGCAGGGAGTGGTAGGAGCACAATCATGCATTGGAAGTAAATGACCCCAGTCCGTTTTTCCCTTCACATCGTTAAAGATCTGACGCCAGCTGCATGTTAAGGCCTTGCTCTGGCCTCATTTTATGACATTCCCATCAAGGAAGGGGCCAGAGAGTCCTGCCCTGCCCTTTCTCAGCGAGTCCCTGCTCAGTCTCCCAGCGCGCCCCTCACAGGCTCCCAAAGAAAATCTAGGGCCTCCCGCAGAGGGTTCCTCCTTTCATCACCCCGCCATGGGGTGGCTCCTCCAGATCTCACGCCCAAACCCCCAGCAGCATCTCCTGGGGTCTGGCTCGGCTCCCTGCTTTGCAGATCCTCAGCAATGGCTCCACCCTGCGAACCACAGGCGGTTCCAGGGAGCACGAAAGGGGGCCCATGAGAACAGTTTATTTGCACGACTCTTTAGGCCCAGGGCTAGCAAACATTTTCTGTAAAGAGCCAGAGAGTAAGTGCTGTTAGCTTTGCGGGCCATGCAGTGTCTGATTTCTGTAGGGACACCTCAGCTCCGTATTGGTGGGTGAAACCGGCCAGAGGTAACACTGAAACTGAGGGAGCGGGTCAGGTTTGCAGACCGGTGGCCCAGGCTGCAGTGTGCCCATCTCTGCTTTAAATGTCACAAACACTTTCAGGCCTCTCATCGTATCTGATCTGCCAACAAAGCCGTGAGGCAGGCAGGAGAGGTACTGTAGACACTTTCAGGAGAGAGGGAGAGACGGCAGCTGGGTCTCCCGGACCAGTGCCTGTGATCCCTCAGTGTGGCCAGTGCAAGGGCAGGCCCCAGGCCCACAGGTCCACAGACCCCAGACCTCCATCTCTGCCTCTCCAGAAAGCTCCCAGGACCTGCCTGGTCCACACATCACCCGTCCTCAGCTCACACATCGCCCATCCTCAGCGTGCCCTTTCTACGGAAGGTCCTGGTGCTCCTCTCAGCAGGAAGTTGAGGTCACTGGCTATTGAAAATGACTAACCCGTCCCTATCTACGATGCAAGCACTTGGCAGAATTAGGGTGATCATCGAAGGGTGATTTCAGCCAAGAATCCCATCAGCATAAAAAAGTAGGTGGGGAACCTTCAGATCTAGTGACTGAATGAGAGCCTGGCTTCCACTGGGCTGTGCTCCATGGGGTGAAAATCAGGTAAGTCCCAATGATAAGCAGCTAAATGCCAGCTTCCACCCCTAAGGCAGAGAGGGGCTCCACCACGGAGGGGCACCCCTACTCAAAGCTTCAGAGTCAGATAAGGTTCTTTCAGGGGTAACAGTTTGTGTTGGTCTCAAACAGGCTCCCTACAATAGCTGTGTTCCCTAAAAGCAGAAGTCTGCCCTGAGGGGGTGAGAACAGCTTCACTTCTAATACAAGGCTTTTAAAGGATCGCTCATTTATAAGAATTAACATTTTTTTTGAGATACAGAATAACTTGACAAGTCATCAGGCAAGAGAATCAAAGGTGGCTTTTGTAAGGGGGAAGTGAAAAGAAATTGAGGGATCTGAATGTGCTGTTTACAGAGATGTGGGGCAAACTTCCAACCATGTCCCCAAGATATTTTCAGGCGTTTGCTGAGGGAGCATTGCCATCTTGTGGCTCATTGGGGATATTGCAGACAGTGTGAAAATGTACGGAAGTCCCAGGGCACAACCTGAGAGCTGGAAAACGCAGGATTCTAGTGCAAACTTTACTCACCACTGGAACCAGTTTGGGGTAAAGGGTTGGAAACACAGGCAACAGTGCAGTTGCTTCTTCTTTTCTTACGCTGGACAGCTGGGCTTAAGTTTCTCCACAGTGAGAAGCAATGCAGGTACTAAAATGACTCAGGGGCTTGTCCAGGAAAGCCAGAGCTAAGGCATCCGAGAGGCTACTTACCAAATGGATGAACCCGGCTGCGGTGAGCCACGTGCTGATAAATATGGAGAGCAGATTCACCAGCTTGATGGAATTACTGTGCGGAGACAACAAGCAAAACCCCGGGTTACATCACAAGTCCCTGCTGGGGCCGCCTCTTCAGCGGACAGGAAGCTCGGCTCCGGCTCCCAGCCCTTCTCTCACTCCCGAGGGAATGCCCCGAAGGTGGCGTAAGTGGACCAGGCCAGAGCCCGTAGGGAGGTCACATCAGGGCTACTGAAAGGTGCCCCTAAACTAGCCCTCCAGTTGTGCTCAAGGTTTTTATTATTATTATTAACTTTTATTTTGAAAGTCTTTCAATCTACAGGAATAATGGAAGAACAGTATAACGATCCTTAGATGCCTTTCACCTAGGCCAGTGGTCGGCAAACTCATTAGTCAGCAGAGCCAAATATCAACAGTACAACGACTGAAATTTCTTTTGAGAGCCAAATTTTTTAAACTTAAACTATACAGGTAGGTATATTGTTATTAACTTAATTAGGGTACTCCTAAGCTGGCCTTTGCGAAAAACGTCCTCAATCTGATTGAGGTACGTTCGCGGAGGTTGACCCCTTCCAACTCTCCCATCCACACTCGTCTTGTATACTTGTTTCGTCTATCTCCTTTCGTTCATCCTCTCTATATGTCCAAACCATCTCAACATACCTTTCTCAATCCTAGACACTACATCTTCTTTCACTCCACAATGTTCCCTGTACGTGCGCGCCCGCACGTGGTATTTTGTGGAAGAGCCACACTCAAGGGGCCAAAGAGCCGCATGTGGCTCTCGAGCCGCGGTTTGCTGGCCACTGACCTAGACTGACTAATTAACACTTTGTCACCTCATTTGCTTTTCTCTTTTTCTTTCTTTCTTTTCTTTCTTTCTTTCTTTCTTTCTTTCTTTCTTTCTCTTTTCTCTTTCTCTCTCTCTCTCTCTCTCTCTCTCTCTCTCTCTCTCTCTCTCTCTCTCTTTTTTGACTGAACCACTTGCAAGTAGACTGTAGACATCATGATTCAACCCCCTAAGTACTTCAGCATTCAACAGCCAAGACAGACATTGTGCAGCACAATCCCAATAGAAGAGCCGTGCCTCAGAGAGTTAACAGGAATTCAGTAAGGTCCTGGAACACGCACTCCCTGTTTAAGTTTCCCCATGTATTGATGTTTGCATTTTTGTCACCCTGATCCAGGAACTACCAAGGTTCATGCATTGTGTTTGGTTAATATGTTGCTTTAATCCAGGGGTCAAGAAAGTTTCTGTAAAGGATCAGGCAGTAAATATCTTGGGCATTGTGGGTCATAGAGTCCCCGTTACAACTCCTCAAAGCTGCACTGTAGGATTAGAGCAGCCTGAGACACACGGAAAGGAATGGATGTGGACAGGTGCCAATAAAACTTTATTTACAAAGCAGGCATGGGCTGCTATGGGCTATATAATTTGCTAATCCCTGCTCTATCCTCCTTTCACCTATACTTCCTTTTTTGTTTGTTTTTCCTGACATTTAATCTCTGTGCACCAGCTCAGCTGTCTTATAGAACACCCCAAATTATGGATTTGTCTGATTGGTTCCCCATGATTAGATCCTGTTTTAGTTCTTCTGTTAGAGTATCTGCCTCCAATGGCATCACATCAGGAAATCCCAACTCAGTCACATAGGTGTAGTCACTTGGTTACCATGGGAATGTCAAATCTCTCTAGGAAAGGTGTCCTTTGTAATTCATCTCCAATCTATGCCCTGAGACTCTGAGACCATAAGAATATCCTGCTCCCCAACAGCCTGATATCTAACTAAAGGCCCAGTGCACGAAATCTGTGCACTGATTGGGTTCCTAGCAGCTGCTGGCTGGGGCCTCCCTCCCTTCCCCCGGCCGACCCTAACCCCTGGTCACACTCCCAGATGAACTCCCGGTTGAGGGGACAATTTGCATACTACGCTTTTATTATATAGGATAATGTCAGCACTCACCCGTGTTTCCTGAGTGGGTCAACTGGAACTCACTACATTTTAAGCTCCCTGAGAGGAGCCTTGTCTGTCTGGGTTCCAGAAGCAGTGAGTCCCTGGTGCACAGTATGACTTCTATGAATATGTACTGAGTGAAATGGTCTCTTCCTCTGCCATCTCTATCCCACTAAGCGTAAGGGTCATCCTGTCCACTCCCACTGGCAAAGAGCTCCCTGAATGCTGCTGCCAGCAGGTCACTTCCTGCCCACAGGCTCCCTGCTGAGTGAAATCCTGTGCCCCACCTCTGTCCTCCCATTCCCAGCACCATCTGAGGCTCTAGGCCAGCCGTGGGCAAACTACGGCCCACAGGCCAGATCCGGCCCATTTGAAATGAATAAAACTAAAAAAAAAAAAAAAAAGACCGTACCCTTTTATGTAATGATGTTTACTTTGAATTTATATTAGTTCACACAAACACTCCATCCATGCTTTTGTTCCGGCCCTCCGGTCCAATTTAAGAACCCATTGTGGCCCTCGAGTCAAAAAGTTTGCCCACCCCTGCTCTAGGCTCTTCTTCCACACTATGCCTTCCTGCTCACGATGCCTCTGTTTATTACTTGGCAGGAACGTCCTTCCCTCTACCCAAGTCTTTTCTTCAAAACCTGGTTCAATCCATCTCCCTCTGCATGCAAAGTGGCTCCTCCTCTTGGCTCTTACCACTCAGCCACTTGGTCATTGATCCCACTGGCTTAGACATCTTTTGCAATGTGATTGTGGGTGGCTATTTGACTCTGATACCTAACAGCACCCTGTAGGAAAGAACTCTATTTTTATCTCTTCCAGTCCCCCCCTACTGGTCCAACACAACACCCAGGGTGGTTCACCCATCATTCCTGATTGATCTCTGTTTGTTCTCTACTCTCTCTCTCTCTCTCAAGGGGAACCAACATTTAAATTCTAAGTGTTTAAGATCATTGTAATAGGAACGGCTAACACTTTTTTATTACGCGCCCTACCACTCTAAGTGCTTCACATATATTAGCTCATCTAATCTTCATAATGACTCTGCGAGGTCACCCAGAGGTCAAGAAACTGACCCAGGTTCACACAGCAAGCAGCGGAGTTGGAATCTGGACCCAGGCCGCGTGTCTGCAGGGCCTGCCCGCTTGGCCACACACTGCAGAGCACCAGTCACATTAGAAAGCCTCCCAGATTGCTGACAAAACTGGGCTTCACCCACACCCTGAGCATAGGAGATGAAAAAGGGTGGGAGAGTCCTGCCCCAAGGGGAAGTCTGTCTCAACATACTGATTAACCTCTACACCTGTCACAGAAAAGAATGGAGAGGAAAATCCTAGTGACCACATCTCTCCTGGGGCCCCACGTGGAGGAATGTTGATGGGGCTGTGGCCCACGGGGTAGCCTGGGCTACAGGAGGAGCCCGCCCTGGAGGTCGGTGCCAGGATGGGCATGATGCCAGTGTCCAGCTTTCCTTTTCCCTCAACCTCTTCCCTTTTACATAACTGAACAGAGGATCATGGTCTTAGTTTTCTAGAGTTGGTTCTGACAGTTCAGGAAAAGAATGAGCAGAGATTTTCACTTTTGTGGGAAAGACTGATCTTTTGAAGTGTGTACAACAACTTCCTTATGGTTCAAAACCAGACTAGAGAAACAACAAAGCCCACTCTATCTTTCTTGGTCATTTCTCGCGTGCCGGATTACAATAATGGCCAACTTTTATTGAGACATTATTAAATATGTGCTAGGCACTGTATTGAGTTCTTCATTTTCTCCAGAGTTTTCCATCTATACAGAGTTTCCCTTTGATGCAGGTGCTATCACTGTTCCCACTACCCACGTAAGGAAACTGAGGCTTGGTGAGTAAGCAGCTTCCTGGGGAAACACGGTAGGTAGTAGGTGGTGGGGTCAGTATTCAAACCCAGGCCTGCCTGGCCCAGAGCCCGCTGGCCTGAGCAACGTGGAGGGGCAGTGCAGAGAGTTCCCCTGGACCTTTTTCCTCGACACTTTGCCTACCCCACATCTCTTCTTCTAGGGAAGCCCTGTGGATGGGCTGGGTGTCAATCAAAGGCCCCCACCTGTCCCTCCACTTGAGTGGCCTGAGCCAGGCTGACCAATGGAGGAACTCCCAGCTCTAAGAGCGATGAGGTAGAGATTAGAAGCGGGAAAGAATCATTCTCCTGAGACGTGGGTATGCTCTAGCGGGCCACCTGCCCTGGAAAAAACCTGCCTTGGAATGAAATCCAAAAGACAAGGAGATAGAGACAGAACCTGACAAGAGCAACTGAACCCCTGAATCGGACATGCTCAGTTCCCTCTTGGACCCACAGTCAGCCAAGGCTAGTGCGAGGTGGACTCTGTCATGTGCAGCTAAAAGCCATGTGCCTACAATAGATGTCCAACATGTTCTTGGAAAACCCAAAATTGATCGGGTCTGGGACTGTCCATCTGTGGAAAGGGGGTGGATCCCGTCCCACCTACTAGTGTGCTAACCAGTTAATCTGGACGTTCTGCTATGACTCTAGCACAGATCTGCCAAATCCTGGCCTTCATCCCCTTTTCCAGACACTAACTACCACGGGTCATGCCTCACCTCTAAGTAGCTGCCATAGCTGTGAAGGAAGACCCTGGCCCTCACAATGTGTACAACCTCCCGTCTAAGCCTCTCCCTAGAACTGGCAGATACTGCAGCTCCTCCCCATTGTTCCCCAGAGCAGCCGGCAGCTTCCTCACTGGCCTTGCAGAGGCTTCTCTCTGGGAGAACTGCCACCCCACCCAGATATCTGCCGCGTGGAAATAAGGCAAACGGATAAAAGGCACCCACCCAGTGAGCCACAGCAGGCGAGGCAACCCCGCAATCAGTGTGCTGAGCACACTGTCCGCTTCTCAATGGGAAGCCAAACCACACAGAACCCTCCCGCCTCTGCCTGGTGAGCCCTGTAGAATGCACTCTGACGGTGGAGAGTGAGAAACCCATGAACAGGTAGCCAGGAGCAAAGAGAGAGACCTCAGGGAAGCGGGTATAATCCATTTTCTCAGAGCATAACTAAGTACCAAGTTGATGCATGTACAGACTCCCAGAACCTTAGTGCCT